GTTCTATCAAGTGTTTTTAATCTTATTTGACGTGTCCAAAGTGTTTCCACAGGTTTGTGACCATTAGGATGGGATTTGGACAATTTTGAAAATGGTTTTTACCAAAAAGCTGCACTTTTGCATCCGGGTGTCCAAATCTTAATCCGACCGTTAGATTTCTCTAAAATTTAGGTCACAAGTAAAACCTTTTATAAGCTTCGTGTGGGCTTTGGAATCATGTCGATCGGATATCGGACAGAGAAACGACGCACTCCGGAATTTGGTCTGGAGGTGCTGTCATGACAGCATTAAATTGCTGTCATGACAGCTACAGTGTTGATTTTGTAACCTGTACAAAATTCAATCCGTCCGTTGGATCTTTTCAAAATTTAGTATGCTAATAGTATTCTTTAAAAGTGACATGTGGGCTTTGGAATCACTCCGATCGGAGGTCAGATGATGAAATGGTGCACTCCGGAAGTTGGTCCGGAAGTGCTGTCATAACAGCTTTCTAGCTGTCATGACAGCAAAAATAGTCAATCTTTTAACATGTCTAATTTTTAATCCGACCGTTGGATCTTTTTAAAATTTGGTACACTTATAGTACCCTTTGAATGTGACGTGTGAGCTTTAAAATCACTTCAATCGGAGGTCGAATGACAGAACACCGCCTCCTGGAAGTTGGCCCAGGAGGGCTGTCATGACAGCAATAAATTACTGTCATGACAGCATCTTTTTATTCTATTTTCGTCTAACTTGCTTCCGTGCGCTATAGGTAGAACCTATAATTATTTTTAAGGTTTTAAATGATTTATTTCTTAAGTTGGTTAGAGGATCAACTCCTTAACCACACTTAGTTTGTTTGAATTATGTGATTTTTGGGTAACACTCAAGGTAAGTGTTACACATAAGGACAACAATACTTCCCATTTTTACTTGAAACATTTCTCCTAGTAAATTCAAGAAACGGGTTCACACCATTCTCATATTCCTCACTTGTTCTCCTAGCATTCATCTGATTACGATCCATTCTATTTTACCTAATCAACCATCATAAAGTCTATCAAATTAGTAATTCTCTAACTTGCATGGACATATTAAAGTTTAGAAAAATTTTGGTAAAGTTTTTCCTTAAAAATGGGGCCTCTCCAAATTTCAATAACAATAAATTAAACACTTTATATAGTCCAAATAATTAAATATCAAATTTAATCATAAATGAAAACAAAATGCTATCAAGAAAAATTTGGCAAAGTTTTTCCTAAACAATGAGACCTCTCCAAATTTCAATAACAAAAAATTAAACAATTTAACTAATCCAAATAATCAAATATGCTTAAATTTGAGCATATATCATGTAGCACAAAATTTAAGCATATATCAAATAATCCAAATAATCACAAAATTTAAGCATATTAAAAATAACATTTTCTAAAGCTAGGAAACTTAATTTTCTCAAAATCACCCAAATAAATTCACAATAATTTTTTAAAGACACACAGACATGTGCCTTAATTTTGTAATAGCTTCAGCACAAATTAGCAAAGAATATCAAGCTTCCAAAAGCACAAACAATTATTCTAAAAAATAAATAAATCAAAGTAATGATAGAAAAAATAAAAATTTGGGGCACTAATCAAGACCAATATAGGCCCCAAAATTATCAAAATTGTAGCACCACTGGTACTACACAAACATATTAAGGTTTTAAAAAAATTGGCAGAGTTTCCTTACAAAAATAGGACCTCCAAAATTATAACATTATCAAATCAAGTATTTTAACTAGCAAAAATCATTAAATATCAAACTAAAGTATAAATGAAGGCTACTATTGCATTGGGAGAAGCTACGAATAAGAAGAGAGGAGACTAAAATAAAAAAATCTTTGAATAAATTTAAATTCAATGTAATAAAAATTATTGTCTAGCAATACAAAAAATTAATTTTAAATAGAGGAAATATCAATAAAAAATTCTAATGGGATAAGCAATATAATAAAAATTATGGGTTGGAACTAAAAAAAATCCTGGGCATTAAAAAAATATAATAAAAATTATTGTCTAGCAATAATATAAAAATATCCTTCTAATAAATGTAAATTCAATAGAATAAAAATTATTGTCTAGCCATACAAAAAATTAATTTTGAACAGAAGAGATATCACAAAAAAAATTCTAATGGGATAAGCAATACAATAAAAATTTTGGGTTGGAGCTAAAAAAAAAAATCCTAGGCATTAAAAAAAATAATGGGATAAGCAAAAATTATTTTAAAAAAATTAGCTAGGTGGAGGAGGTGACAATGAGCAAGGCAGAGGAGTTGAGGGTCACCAACGGATAATGCTAGCTAAGGTGAGCTAAGGGTCGAAGGGATCTAAGCAATGGGTGCTGCGAGCTTTGGGGAGACGAGCTATGGGTTACGATGAGGAGCTGAGCTTCAAGAGATGAGCTATGGGTGCTGTGAGCTTTGGGGGGGATAAGTTATGGGTTTCACGAGATGAGGAAGGAGACGAGCTGAAGGGGGAGCTAGGGTTTCATGAAATGAGGAAGATGAGCCATGGGTTGCTGTTGATTTGAGAGTTGAAGGCTTCTGTTTTTGAGTTAGAGGTTTTCAGACTTTGAGATTCACGGGCGAGAGATAGAATAGAAAATAATGGAGGCAATTTAAATGCTCATCCATGTCTCTTTTTTTTTTTAAAAAAATAGACGTGGATATTACCAAATTTAAAAAAAAAAGAAATTAAGACTTTAAGCTGGAGGTTTTCAAATGCGACCTTGACATAGACATATTTAAATGCTTATCCATGTCTCTTTTTTTAAAAAAGAGATGCAGATGCTACGAGATTTTTCAAAAAAAAAAATTAAAATTGAGCTAGAGATTTTCAAGTAGGCCTGACACTTTAAATGCTTATCCACATCTCTTTTTAAATGCTTATCCATGTCTCTTTCCTAAAAAAGAGATGTGGATATTATAAGATTTTGCAAAAAAGAAAAAGCAAATTAATAATATCACGTCACTTTTAATAAAAAGTGACCTAATTAAATTAATCCACGTCCTTACTTAAATATTAATTTAATTAATAAAATTTTTAAAAATAAAATCTACATCCTTTTTTATAGGAAAACAACATAGATTATTAAAATTGATATTTTTAATTTAATCACTCAAATTCACGTCCCATTTTATCAAAAAAGTAATATCGATGAGCTTAAATATTTAGTCTACATATTTATCTTCCTTGTAAAAAAGATATTCTTCATTTTAACTCCCTCATTTTCCTTTTCTCTTTTTTATTATAATAATTTTTTATTCTAAAATTATTATTCTAACAATAATAATTTTTTAATTGTCAATCTGATTATTATTTTTTTAACTCAAATCCACGTCCCTTTTTATATAAAAAGCGACGTGAATTGGTTTCTAATTATTAAAATTTTTAAAAATAAATTTCACATCCTTTTTATATAAAAGTAGTGTAGATAATTTTAGTTTTAAAATTTATATTTTTAAATTAATCACCCAAATTCACGTCCCATTTAATCAAAAAAAAAAAGGGACAGGGATGAGCTTAAAATTCAGTTTCAAAATTAAAATTTTTTATTATAAAACCTATATCCTTTTTTCATGAAAATAGACATGAGTTTTTTATATTATAAGTTGTTGATTTCAATCATTTATGTCTATTTTTTCAATAAAAGAATGTTGATTATTTAAATATAAATTATAATTCTTAATTTATTAAACTATTAAATCCACGTCTAAAAAGAGACGTGAATTATTTTCTACATCTATTTTTAACAAAAAAGATGTGAATTAACATAATTTATTTTTAAATATTCACATCCTAAATTAAAAAAAAAATGGCATAAGTATTAGTTTTTTTTGTCACTTTTTATTAAAAATGATGTAGATATTTTTAATTACTGAGCACTTATTTATAGAATTATCACCGTCTTTATTTTTTGTCACTTTAATAAAAACATGTCGTAAATTGAGGGATGTAAATTATATTTTTTACAATAGTGTGTGAAGAAATAAATTACGAGATTCAATGAGTTAGAATAATATGAAGTTACAGGTAAATTAGGATGGTTTTGGGATAATAAAGCTCAAAGCAATATTGCAGTGACGACATATGGAAGAGACTGTGGAATATCTTCAGTCAAAGCAGCACGAGTTTCAAATTGGATAAGCACAGCATACTACTTGTTGATGTTTCTAACAGCCAAATTATTAAAAGTCAAAAGGGGCATTTTCATTTTGTCATAGCAACTCTTATTCCAATTAACAAACAAACCAACTTCAATTTTCTGTACTAATTCTAGGCCTCAGTTCATCACCAGCTAAAGAGTGTATTAATCTAATCAAAGAATTAGTCATCTCAATGTAATAAGAGTGTATTGTTTCAAACAAAAACGACCAGCCCAAGCCTCATGATATGCATTAGTCATACTAGAGAAATATATAGATTATAGAACAAGAATTGATCATAAAAGTTCAGAAACCTATGGTTGCAAAGGCGGAGAAGAGGGTTTTGTTGCAGTTCCATTTGCATGGATTTCTTGGAAGCCAGATGATACTATTGAAGGATAATGATGAAGTATGGAAATGAAAATATAATAGGAGCAACGGAAATGAAAAAGGATGATGATTGAATTAAGAAATAGTGATTTGATAAATGAATTTTAGGGTTTAGAATTTACAATAGATTATAGACAATTGTGATAATAGCTAAAAAGGAAGGGTGGGTGAGAGTCACCAATCAATGTTAACTTTATTTTTTTCACCATCAGAATTACAATTGACCATGACCCTATGAGAATTTGATAAGGGTAATTTAATCATTCCATTTAATACCACAGCAAGACCTTAGTCCTTCTCTAATTCTCAGTTTATTTAAATAAACTTGTGGTAAGGTATTTTAGGACAATTTTTCTTCGTTAATTTTGTTATTTAAATAATTAATTTTTGACAAATTCTCCTTAAAATTAAGTATATAACCTCGACCAATCACAGGCTTGTAGACCTGTAGTTGGTAGCGGATCCATTTTTCTTCGACGAACAAGCATCCCAAATTCTGTTGGACCCCGTCCACCGTTGTCTGCCCTGCTTGGTCGTTCTTGGGCAAGTAGTGAAGAAGGTTCGAGCCCTAGGGCTTTGTCTACTCCTCAAATCCGGTGAGATAGATTTGTTCAGTCTGGTTTTGAATCTAGGTTTGAATTTGTTCCCGCGTGGTTGTTCTTGCTTTGTTTTAATTTTTTTTCATCTTAATTTGCCTTTGAATCTGGTCGTGTAATCGTTTGAATATCTTTTGAAGTTGGGAATATTTACAGTCAGATTGAGTTTGACGTTTTTTCTTGCTCGTATTAGCTCGCACGGTGTGTAATTTGCTATTATACTTCTGCCCCTCTTCATTTTGATTACCAGCGACTTGTACGCTTTGGATTGTGTTGCGATGTTGCCATGTTGGATTTGTGTGTATTGGCATTCTGTTTATTAATCTCTTGATGTCATCATCAATTTAGAAAGTTGTCAAGGTGTTTGTGACGTATGATCATGTAAATGACTTGGCTCGAGTTGTGTCAAAGTTTCTGGAACAAAAATTAGAACGGCCCGTTATATCAACTGTGCATATTTCAAATTTTTCTGTGGGGGTGGATGCCCCCACTGAGTGTAATATGGACCCGTCTTTGGCTGATGGAAAACTCTGGTTATATTATTGTTGTAATTTTGGACTCTGAAACCTCTGCATTAAGGGGCAAAGATTTTTGGGCAAAATTTTAGTGAAGGTCATTGTGTGTAATCGGTGAGCTTGGCCTTTCATTATCTGGTTTGCTGTAACACTTAAATTCTTCTGCTGCATCAGTGGTCTACTGTTTCCTCGTTTATCTTGAAAATCTAAATCCTTGAAGTACTGTATGGGCTTTGATACTTAGTAAAATAAAAGTTTTTCATATCTAACCGCAACATTTTTGTCAGTGGGAATTTTATATTATGTTGTATTTTAATTTAATGAATATGAGCGAAGGGTAGATGGGATCGAGAATAATGAAGGTTAATGAATATGAGTGAAGGGGAGATGAGATCGAGAATAATGAAGGTTAATCATTGTAATTGTTTTTCATGATTGTTTTGTTTTGACATTGCTTCAAACATAGCGATTTTGTGTTTAATAAAAAGAAATATTGCCTATGTCATGTCTCTCCCCAAAAAGGTTAAAAACATTTCACAGTAAATGAGTTTGTTTTGTGCTTTCAAAGAGGTCATATCCCATATTCTTTCCCATTTAAATTTTGGCTTAGGGCCTAATTGGCATGCTATATAGGGCGTGGTTGTTTAAACTAATATATGTTATGAACTTATTAGTTACTTGGTTCCCGTAATATATTGTATAAAATTCTAAACGGTTACATTGTTATACATCAAAATAATGTATAATGCTCTTGGGTAAAGGGGAATGAAATTACACCTGATTACGTCTTAATCTATAGGCTCAATTCTTATTTCCCTTTACAAGCCTTGAGCATCTTGATACATTTTTCTGTGACCTTTGTCAACCATCATCGCAGCCACCATCTGCTGCATAACAATCTGTTGCTGGTCGGCCTCCTATTAGATAAGTTTAAAATCTTGATCCCCTAATTCAAATCCTAGTGCTCTGCCCCATTATGTGTTGTGCCCTGATTTGAATCATGTGGTGATGCGGGGCTTATGATAATATGATTTCTTTTCCTGATTTGAAGTCTGGTATGTCTTGTGATTTCTTCTACTTCAATGCTCTTTTTGTATACAATATTAGCTGGATGACCACTTCTGGCAACGTCTGTCACAGGCTTAATGAGCACATAAGCATTTCAAGGTAAGATGAAAGTTTATTTCTTTGTTTTCTTAGCTGTGTTTGTTTTTTTTTTTTTGGTGATTATGAGAGTAGTAGATCTGAGCTTTATTACTATTAGTTAGTTAATCGAATTTGGTTGAAAGAACGCAACCTCTAAAATTATCAGAGAAAAGTAGAGGAAAGGACAGAAAACAAGGAAGCAGTTCTTTGTCCCTTGGGAACCCTTCTTTTCCAAAGTGACTTGTGGTTCCCTTAGTTTTGCTGAACAATTTCTAAGTTTTTGATCTGACTGGATATTTTGTGATTGTTTGTAGAATGACTTGTATTTCTGGCTTAATATCCTGCATTAGTTTCAAGTTATAATTGCAACAGATGTTGGTTATAATTGTATTTTTAGGTACCGGGTCATGCACTTTTACAGTTGCATTTTGGCATTCATTGATACAATTTTAAAAATGACACTTCAATTGATTGGAATTTTAAATAAATTTATAAATAAGTTTAAGGATTAAAAGACTTATTTATCCTAATATTGAAAGAAGATCATGCTCTAAAAATTAATATAATACAATCAATTTAGATGAAGATATTATTCTTTTTAAGTTAATTGCTTCTTTCTTTCTTTTCTTTTTTCAAAAAGTTACTTTTTTTTTCCATCTTATTTCAAGAACCATGTTAAAAGTTTTCTACTTCAATTTCTTGTACTCTTAATTCTGTGCTCCTAAAATATCACAGCCAGAAAGTTTGGAATAAACTCTGGCCATTTTTGGTTGCGAGGAATGGGTCATTTGGTGTATCTGACTATCTGGTATGTGGTAGATATCATTGCTAGGAAACAATGTTACAATTAAATTAATATATTTTAGATGTTATGTAGTAAAATATAACATAATGAAATTTTAATGACAACAAAATGGGTCTCAAATATAACAATAAGAAAAAATATCAATTGCATTTTATATGACTAAGAAAATATTACATTCATGGTAAATGACTAAGAAAATATTACATACATGGTAACTTATTTTAGAACTTAAAAACATTGAATGACAAGGTATTACTGGAGAAAAAAATTGTTAGGAACCCTCAACTCAATACGCACTCATATAAGATAAAGGAATTGGTTAAGTAGCACTCTTATGAGGTTGATTAAAACTAAATTAAAATGAATAAGTTTGAAATAAGGTATTATTAAATGGTTGGAAGTTTAGAAAAGAAATATCGCTCTTCATTTAGAAAAATAACCTAAGGAAGTTAGCAAGAAAAATGAATGAAGATGGAGAGGAAAAAAACGAAGAAGAAGAAGAACCTTGTGTTGGGAGCATGTCCCACATTGAAGAAGAGAAGGGAATGAGGGAGGAAGCTTGCCTATATAAAGTGAAAGAAGATGGCATTGTTTTGTTCAAAATTTTCTGGGCAGTTAATGCAAACCTAGGAAAGGTTCTCATGGGCTGTGCATATTTGCCTTTTGTGCACTCAACCTATGAACTAAAGTTAAGTATTTTTCAGTCTAAGTATTTTTAAAAAGTTTTCTATTTCAGACAGGTTTTTTTTATGGGCCTGGCTCACTGGCTTTGGGTGGTTATACTGGTTCATGGCTAGTTTCATGTCTGGCTGGTTTTGTGTGAGTTTCAGACTAGACAAGTGACCAGTTCCTGATTCAACCAGTCAAACCGGCTGGTCCAATTCTCAGAACATTGCTAGGGAATGGTTTATTCCCAAGTTTGAGGAAATTTGTAAACCAAAACCCATAGGATTGAAGGCCCATTGTTAGGAATGAATATAGTGACCAAAATGACCTTCATTCCATCTTAAATTTTGTGAACAATTCATGACCTTCACTCCATCTCATCTTTGGATCCCAAGCCTTCCATCACTCATCTCGCACCTAGGGCTGTATTGTTGCTCACAACCTCTGTCACTCATCTTCGCCATCGATCTCATAAAGTCCCTGCTTGGCTGCTTTGTTGCTGATCTCATAGAGTCCCCTGCTTCATCCCTCATCTCCATCACTCTCCTCTTCTTCCATCGTGGTTGTCACCTTCTCTGTTACTCCCTCACTGTTCATGATGTTTGATTTGGGGCTTCAGCTTTTGTTGTTATTTCTGTTTTTTTCCCTTGTGCTTTTTAATGATCTTTTTACTAGTGCTGCTCATATGCTCACTCCCTAATCAGCAGCATAGTGGCTGTGCACTGTGGCCATGTTTGGTTGGACCGGATCTGTTTTCTTCCCCTCTTGACAAGGGATAAGCATGATATGGTGTTTTGCTATTATAATTATAAATGTGAAATAAAAATTATATTAGCATTCCATGGACATATTTACATTCTCATTCCCTTAAAATTCATTCTTGTGTACAAAAAGCATGAGTGTTGAATTTTCTGTTTATTTTCAAAATGGAATTTTGAGTTAATATTTTATTAATTTCAGGGAAGGGCATGGCTTCTTCGTCAGTGATTACTCCTGAAGATGTGTTGGAGATGTTGATGAACGATGGTACAATTGATGCCCTCAGATTGAAGATCATCAATCAACTCAAAGCTAATGTCAGTTTTCCTTTTCTTATTTATATTTTCCATGGTTTCACAATGTTCATTTTTTTTTTTACTTTGAATTGTCCCCCTTACAGCCTCACCCACCCTTTTTCTATCATGATGATGAGAAACCGCTTATTGTTTTAATGCCTTTTAATGGATCTACGGGCATGTTAGAATTATCATTGAATTTGTTCTGATTTTAAGGCTAGTAGTGGGTTAAACCTGGTTCTCAATTTTTAAAATTGAAATATGATGCATGAATTCTTAATCCAGTGACGGAATGTATACACTTCTATTCGGCAGGAGGAACTCAAGAGTACTACTATTAAGATGGCTGAACAGAGTAAAGTCCTTAATACCCCTGGGGCTGAGAAACAGACCAAAAGAGAGCTGTATGATGCCCTTCGTCATGAACTTGAGTAAGTGACTGTGTTGCTTAACGTTTTTACTTATTTAAATACTTTTTCCAACGGCATTTTTTTAAAGTTGTATCTGTTATTGGCTTTCAAACTCCTGCTCAAAAGTCATTCCACCCAGCACAATTTAGTTTCAATAGGTTCTGTATACTCTGCACACATTTTGTATTGAGATGAGTTGATTCAGTGGTGTCTTTTGATCTTGTGCTTCAGCCATTTCTTTTCCATGTTTTCTTGTAATCATTATCTTCTCTTTCCTTGTCTTCATTGCTTAACTGCCTGCAAAATGGTCCGCGCGTGTGTTACTGTTACCAAGCATAATATGAGCATGTAAATGTATGCAAGTGGTTTAGAGTATTCTTATTACTCAAATTAACACACAGAGAAAATGAATGATACATAGGGAGTTAGAGTTGCTGTTGGATGGTTGAAGCTTCTCCAACAGATTGGCCTTATTTTCCTAATCATCACACATTTTAACCTTCTCAACCTCAGTGACTATGGCCTCCTCTTGATTATTAGTCTTTTTTGTGTGTGTTTCCACAAAATCAAGAACCCTATGCTTCTTGGTATAGTATGGAAATCTGTGTTAACTCACCTAGTGGAACCATTAAAGCAGTGTCTTGATCTGTTTAATAAAAATACCAATTTGATACGATTCAACTATAGTGTTGACCATTAATTTTTGAACTAGTGCCTTGAACAATTCAATGACCGTTTTGGTTTTCAGTCCTTGCTCCTTGGTCCGTGCTTCTATTGTGAGTCTGAAATGACATGTACAGCAGTGAAGCAATGTCATTTCAGTGCTGTGCACTGCCCTGCCCAGCTAGAGGCTGAGCAGGAGAACTGGACGCATTAGGAGAAATATTATAGCCATTTTGGCCAAAAGGAATATATATCATCGCCATAATGTAGGGCATGGTCTGTACACATTTACTGGTGTTACTTGCATTAGATAAATGTGCACCTGATAAATCCTAGTTACTTGAATTTTACATTATCTGTTGATTTCTTGATTCTGCCTGTGCCTCATTATCAGTGGCGGTGTCAAAACCCTAGGTCAAGGGGTGCAATATTTTTTTGGCCGTCAACTAAACAAATTTAAAAGTTTTTTAGAACCCAAATATCTTTAAAGTTGAGCAAAAATGTGCAAAAAATTTAGATCAAGAAGTGCAAGATAGTAATAACCCTTTTTTATAATTTTCTCTAAATTTAAGGGGTGCATTTGCCCTTCTTGAGTTACACATAGTGCCGCCCATGCCCATTATTCCTTGTCAATTGCATTTTTATTTTATTTTCTGGATGTTTTATTCACACATTCTATCGGCGATTTACATCCTTTACTTAAAACCATACTCATTTCATGCAGAGCACCAATACTTGAGAAAGCTTCTAAATCAGTTTGGGATTTAATTTTAGACAACAATGGCCTAGGAAGAGAGATAAGTGAAACAGTTGAAAAAGTATTTTGTCGATTGAGTGGCCAGGAGCCTCCTTTATTTCCTACGCCAAATGACGAACCACAAGCTGATAATAAGGAGACTGGCAACAGAAAGGATCAGAAAGGGAAAGGAAAAGAGAGAGAAAATGAAAATATGAATTCTAATATGACAATGAAGAAAAGAAGTTTCGGTGAAATGAATTGTGAAGTTGATGAAACCGCCAAGAGGTCTTCAGATTCTGCTTCTGCACCTGAAGGTTCTAGCAAATCGCCTTTGCCAGTTTCAAAATCTTGAGATTGATTTGCCATGCGAGCTAGCTTTTTGTAATAAAATTGATTATATCTGGTAAATAGATTGATTAGCTTTAAAGGATGATACTCTTCGAAGTTCATGTAACAAATATTTTAGATGCAATATCTATTATTAGTAAAGTTGATCCATTCATGCTAAACAATTTTACCTAATCTGTTAAATTCTGTTAATTGTTGAAAATTGTTTGCTTGAAATTGTTGATATTGCAAAATTGGATAGTTGAAATTGTTTGGTTTATTTTTTTAATTGCGTTAAATGACAATTTGGATCTTAAACTATAAACTTATGAATCATTTAGACCCTAAACTTGTTTTTAGATGCAATATTTATGGTTAGTGAAGCTGATCCATTTACAGTATAAAATTTTACCTAATTTATTAAAAGCTGTTAATGCTTCCCTGGTTTTCAGCTGGGATCTTGTTGAATGTGTACTATAGAGGTATGAGAATGCTCGAACATGATAGGTTTATGATAAAGGTTTTATCCATGTGAGATTTAGTAGAGTTTTACATTGACTGTCAAGGTTAAATACAAATGTTCTCTTTTACTTGAGTTTGAGATCATCTGGTCAATGATATATTTAAAGATTTTGTTGTTGATAGGGTACAACATTGTGATACACTTCATATAAATGGCCCACCAAATGGGATAAAGTCTTGTTGTATGCCAAAAGTTGTGAAAACTCTTAGCTTCAAAAGTACCAAGTTGTCATGAATTAGATTTCTCTTGTGAAAGTAGAATTGTCAGCACAAATTGAGGCTTTCAGGATGCCCGTCTAGAAGGAGATTTATTTTTTTTAAAATATAAAAAGGCTGAAGCCCAATCCTTATAAACTTATTAAGAATAAGCTAACTCATTTATGCCCTATAGTTTTCTTTCTTTATTTGGAGGCAACATGTGGTTAAAATTGCTGAAAATTTTTTCCTTAAAATTGTTGATATTACAAAATAACAAAGTCAAAATTATGTGATTTATTTTTAATTAATATATAAAAATGATACAATTTAAATTGTATATTAGCATAGTTAGAAGTTAGAAGTTAGAAATTTAAATTAAAGAATGAATAAAAAATTATGTCAGCTTTTGTATTCAACCTTAAGCTATGTTAATGAGGGTAGGGTTGGAAAAACAAACTAAATTTGATATATGTGGATTTATTAGCTTGAGCTCTTAAATGTTAGGTTGGGTCTTATTAGTAGCTTTACATGAAACATGTTAACACATGTCAAATTTGATGTAGTACAACAAAATAATGTTTTGAAATGTAACCTCCTATTATTTAAAAAAAAAAACACTACATATGATGTTTATTGCTATAACCAACTAATATGTAACTTATATATATTGAAATTGGACTATTGTAGCCCTAACCATCCAAAGTGGGAATCTATGTTGGATGACTGTAGAAATAGGGGTCTAATATAGCCTCTCTCATTCTAGAACACTAATTCTTGTATCTCATACTGGATGGGTTCAAAGAATCATCCAATATAAGATTTCAAATATTGGATGATTAATTTATTCATATAATATTTGTTCCACGAATGTATGACAATCTTATACTGAACTATTTTTAACCATTCAATATAAACTTAAATAGCCATTTAATATATATATTTTTAGTAGTGCAGCACCACCGCCAAGATCGATGGGCAAGTGGAATTCTTCCACAATAACCAAAGCATGTGTCCTCTCAACTGCAACTTGTGAAGAGTCTTCTGGTTGAACAAACAAACAAACAAATAAAATTTCAAGTGTTCTGTATACCAAAAAAAAAAAAAATTCAAGTGTTGTGACTTCATGTAGTGGGATGGTTAGTCATCTTAATTTTATTGTTTTTTGACCAGCATGTTAATTTTATTGTTAACTTTTAGTTATTTCGTTTGCTTTGTTGTGAAATACTTTAATTTCTCACCTGTTTTTGGCCAACAGTTCAACTTCTCACTTGAAGAGTCATTGAATTTGCTATTGGCTAACATTGCGTAGCTTTCGGATATCGAGCTTATTTTTCAACAAGCTTTTTAATTTTAATTAAAATTTATTTTTTAAATTACACGAATTTAAAATATTTCAATATAAAATACTAAGCCTGAGTTCACGTTCAATGCTCTCATGTCGTGCTTGCTTAATTTCATAAAACCAGGAAAAAAAATAAAACCAATAAAATTAACACTTGATGCCTCCAAGAAGAAAATAACAAAATCTATTCGATGTTCATATACATGGAAAATAACTGTATATAAAATAACCATAATTACAAACAAATTGATAATCAAGTAAACCTAATGCAATATAATTTTTTATTATTTAAAAAAAAAGTGAATAAAAGCCAAAACTCAACCTATCCAATTCCAACTTCACCTAACGCACCACCATGCTTCAGTATCCTGTGGGGAATACACAATTTCCATATCCTGCATCACACATTAGAATGTCATATATTTATACAATTATATACAATTATACCTTTATAATATAATTTCTAAAAATTATAAAAAAATTAATATTAAAAATTAATAAAAACTAAAACATTGAGGAAAAGTGACCCTTACTGGGAGGCTGAGTGGTCACATGGGCGGTACCACCGAAATTGCACGTGCCAGGGCCACGTGACTTCAGTTGATAATAACTGTTGAAAGCATACGAAGCATGTGCCTCTAACGTGTTGGGATCGTAACACGTGGAACCTTCTTGAATCGGACGACAATCAGCGCCTCCCTCTCCACAGGCATAATCAAGTGCGGCTTTCAGCTTCTCCTCCCCAGCGTGCCCGTTAGCCACACACCAAGTCTGGCCATGAAACGACATCGTTTCTACCCTTCCTCCTCCGGTCACCGGAACTTGACTCTTCTCGACATTCAACGAAGGCGCCGTCTCATTGCCGTCCTTAAGCTCCCGGAGCGTCAACGGAATGTTGTACACCTTCTGTTCGTTGGGATAAAACAACCCATAGTTTCTTTCCGATTTGGGACCCGGTTTCTCGTTCTCGTTGAACAAAGCAAAGAGAAAAACATTGAGTGGATCGTTTGGCCTCAAGGGGGTCCCACTTCCCGTTAAGACACGTTTTACAAGGTTGCCATTATACGACGCCGCATTTTCCTCGCTGGCACCAACCTCGTCCACATCTCCCTTGGAGGGCCAACCCGTCTCCGTAACCACCATCTTTACGTCGTCGTATTGCAGAGCCGACATGGCTGCAAAAACGGCGTCGATCTCGGCGTCGAACAGGCTGTGATATGTCAACCCATTACCCGAATCGACCACACCCGGGTTCTCCTTGAACAACGCGTAGTCTAGAGAGATCTCATCAGCATTGGCCGAATAAGCGAAGAATGGATACGCGTTCACCATCAGATACGACGCCGTTCCGCGAAGGAAATCCAACATGGGCTTGATCACGGGTTCGATTAATTCGGACTTGAAGGATCCGGCTGAACTCGGGTACGATGATTGCAGGGCGGAGAGAGCGATGGGGGAAGAAATTTTAATGTCGGAGCTTATGTTCTGTTTAACCAGTGAAGCGTAAACGTTCTTCATGGCAGGTACGAGGAATTTTGTGGTGTTCTTTGGGTCCACGAAGACCTCGTTCCCGACGGCGATGGCTTCGATTTGGGTGGCGGGGTAGTAGTTGGTGATGTTGGCTTGGACCCAAGCATCGGTGAATGATTGATCTGCAGCGGCGGTGGAGAGGAGCTCGTTGGGGAGAGCAACGACGACGGAGATGCCGGAGTTTGCAAGGGCGGTGAGGACGTCGGCGTCAGTGTCATAGAGCTTTACACGAGTGAGACCTTGAGACTTGAGAAGCTCCACCACCTTGGACGGTGGAGGTAGGTCATCGGCTACTCTTCCATAGTTGATTCCGAAAGATCCCGCATCTGCAAAACACGTCAAGATAGAAGCAAATTCAGAAACAGTTTCAGAAAATTTTGAGTTCGATTAGAACAGTACACTGTATATGTGATTATATTACGTACGTGATAGAGCTGAAAGTAATGAGAAGAGGATGAAGAAGAAAAATGATGATGAGAGTGAAGGAGAAGCCATGCTTTTGCTCTGTTTCAGGGAGAGGGAAGAGCAGTTATTGCTTGCAGTGACGTTGAAACGTGGTGTTATATAGAGACAGATAGTGGCAGTATTGTTGCGAAGTGGAAGGCGAAGCTTGAAGCTGGAAATGATGTGGAGGGTACAATAGTAATTATGAATGAAGGACTGGCGGGACCCACAGAGAATAATTCGAAATTGCAAAAGTGAATAGTTACTGAAAATTTGGAATGGCATAGTAACTCAAAAATATTTAACAAAAAATAAAGAAAAAATGGTAGTAAAATTAAATTATATAAATAATAATATAATATTTTAAAATATTATAATTTTAATAAAATTTGTAGGAATTTTTTTGTTAATAATTTTTTAATTAAGAGAAAATGGTAGTAAAATTAAATTATATAAATGATAACTTGATATTTTAAAATATTATAATTTTAATAAAGTTTTTAGTGATTTCTTTATCAATAATTTTTTTAACGAAAAAATTATTTTACTCTTATTAATAATATGTAATTTTTTAATTAGTTTTTATTATTTTTTGAAGAAAAGTAATTCTTTAAACAAAAGTTGTAAATAAAGTTTGTTATTTTGAGAATTTACTTTTTAATAATAAAAATTCTACTTGATAAATTACTATTTTTTGTTCAATTATTATGAATTACAAAATAAAAATATTATTTTTTAGATAAAAGTTGTGTTTGGGACTTATTTTTAAATAATAGAGATTATATTTAACAAGTTGTGATATCTTATTTAACTTTTACAATTTACAGAACAAAAGTTATAATTTCTTAAACAAAAATTATAGTTGAAATTTATTATTTTTAATAAGGATAAAATAATTTTTTTAAAAAAGTTATTGATAAAAAGGTCTCTAAAAATTTTATTAGAATTATAGCATTTTAAAGGATCAATTTATCATTTATATAATTTGAAAGAATTTTATTATTATTTTCTCAAAAATTAATTAATTCAAATTCAATATATTAAGTAAAATTATAGAAAGTCCAATGCAGAAATCGAATGAAAATGAAGAGAATTTGATTTTCATATATATCTTTGATTGAGTTAGATAAAATTTGATTTTAATAACTTAACACTGACGAATATTAAATAATTATTTGAAAATTATAAAATTAATATTATTGATGTATAATAAATTATGCGACTTATTATCCATTACTAACTCTACGAAGTTCTACAAAGATAGATAATTATGCTTCATGTAAATGGTATGAAATTTTAATTTTTGAACGTTTTATGCCAGAAAAAGCAGTGTATATAATTTATGTGAATTTTAAGTTATAAATAAGAAGTTTCATTATTTGGAGTTTTGAATATACCCCCTCCCTTTTTATATATAAAAGAAAAAATATATATTAAACAGTCTGAAAAAATTGATTAACTATAATAAGTTAATACGTTTGAAAATAAAGAAAATGAACTAAAATACTTTATATTAATTAATATAAACATATATTAATTATTTTTTATTAATATAAATTATGAAGGATGATTTAAAAAATATATAATAAATATTTATTAAAATATGCGATTTTATTTATATTAAAAAATAAATAAATAATAATAATTTTTCTTATAAATAAAAATATAATAATATATTTTTTGGTCAACAGGCAATTTATAAATTTTTAGGACAGGAATATTAATTCTTTCCTCTCTGCATGGCTCTTCTTTTAAGCGGAGACATGACCGTTTGAGTAACTGTTGACATCAGGTTCGATTATTATAAACTACAAATCTGTTAGATTTGTTATCTTGTACCCGCCACGTGTCTTGTCTCTTTGGAACAGTCTAATTCTCGGTCAGGAGCCTCACGAAATTACGGTCCAATTTGAACGTTGAGTTTTACCCAAAGAAAGTTTCTATGGCCGAAAACGATTAGTAATTTGGTAAAAGAGTATCAGACAAAAATATTGAATATTAACAGTCCTTTTATTTAAAAATATAAAATATTTTTTTAAAGAGTTAAATAATTAAAAATATAAAATATTTTTAATTTTTTAAAATATAATTATTACTTTTTTTTATAAGTATCCCTGTTGATAGTGATTTTATATTTATTATAAAGTAGTTAATAGAAATAAATAAAAAAAATAGAGTTAGTTTGAAAGTATGTAAGAACTTTATTGAAAGTAAGATTTGATTAAAAATGCTTTATATTTTTATATTGAGGGAGTATTTTATAATTTCTTACACCGAATTTCCAATAATTATGATTTCAAAATTGAGAGTTCGAGATGGTTTCTTTTTTTTTAATCAAAAGTTCGAGGTGGTTAATTATTTTTAAATTCTATGAAAAGGTTGCAATTGACTAGAATACTAAGGGGTTTCACCAATGAACGGGTGAATATATATATATTTTTTTCCTTTTTTAACAGAGAGAGTGATTTGATGCGATTCCGTTTCTTGTGGTTTTTAATTATTGGATATACACATTTTTGACCCGTCTATTTAACTTATTTCATGAAAAATTATTTATTGTTTTAAAAGATATATTTTGTGAGTTTTTATAATATTTTTTTAAACTTTTAAAAATAATCAAAATCTAAAATAAACATAGTTCTGATTTTTTTTAGTAAACTACTTTAAATAGTTTTTAAAAATAATTTAATGCGGTAAATAAAAGATAGTGTTTTAAAGAGATCAGATATAAAAAAATATTATAAAATTTTTAAAAAATGTAATAATAAATTATTTTTATAAAATAAAAATCAAGGAAGATATCATAAAATTTAAAAATAACTAATTAATAATCACTTTTTTTAAACTTTCATACCTAGCCTAAAACTTTTTGAATTTATTTGCGTTGGTTTGTTAGGCTTGACCCAAAATATTGGTCATAAACTTCCTCATTTTATTAAAATAACTTAACATTAACCATTAAGTTTTAAGGATATAACTTAATGGAATGCAAAATGTTGACTTATTTCATACAATTAATAAGCACTCATGCACCATTATTGATTTAAGGATACCATAATCTCTTAGAGAAATTTTTTTGGATACTTTTGCACATTATGTTTGCTTTTTTTCCTAGCTCACATCAATCAAATTTAACAATTTGAAGAAGGATGCCCTCATTAAAAGGACTTCATGAATACTTCTACATCTTTATTGACTTAAGAATACTAAATATTCCTAGCAAAAAAGTTCTTAACTATTTTTGCCCATAAACCTATTGTAATATTTAATTTAAAAGACATACTTATTTACTACTTTATTTTTTTCTAAAGTTAACAATGACTTTACATATTGTGATTGCAATGGTTAAAAAATTTGCTTCAAAGATCATGAAAAATAGGCTATACTGTCAAAATAATAATTTAAAACGGCTATATTTAAGAAAATATTTTTTACAATATTGACAATAAAATTATTATATACTTATTACAAAACAAAAGAAAAATCAAGTAGAGGATAATTATAAAATATGTAATTAAAATTTTAAATTATTATTTGTGTGCTTTTAATTTTATAAAATACACCGCACCTCCTTATTTATGATTTGGCTTGGCCAGTGATCATATAAGAAATATTTATTTGAACCTTATTATGGGCTCATTTTTTTTAGCTTATTTCATGAAAAAATTACTTATTTTTTAAAAAAATTATTTTGTGAGTTTTTAAGATGTTTGTATAAACATTTAAAAAAAATCAGAACATGAAAAAAAAGTATATTTCTAAAATAACTTTTGAAAATAATCTAATGCGATAGATAAGAAAAAGTATTTTGAAGAGGCTGGATATGCAAAGATATTATAAATTTTTTAAATAATATAATAATAAATTATTTTTATAAAATAAAAATCAAGAAAGATATCATAACATTTTAAAAAAACTAACTAATAATCACTCTTTTATTATTATAATTAAATATAAAATAATGTCTGCTTTTTATAAAATCTCTACAAAATAATTTTTTTTATACAATCTCTAAACTACCTAAAAATAATTTTTTTTTAATCTTAAACAAATGGGCGTAATGTAACTTTTTTTTTAATTGTAGATTGATCTTTTCTTAAAAAAAATTGTTGGATATAAAATTTAAATCAGGAAGCTAACAGTAAAATAAGAAGTTAACAGTAAAATCTTGAGTACTTCATTCACGATTTTTTTTCACACATTAAGAGAATTTGATCCCATGATCTATACTCACATTTCATTTCACTATTAATTACCACTTGATTTTTTTAATAAAAAGAAATAATCTTATATTCAATAATATTAGATAAATTTTATGGTATTTTATACATATTTAACTTCTCAATAAATGTTTTTCCTAAATGAGAAAACTTCCAAAAAATTAAATTTATTTTTAAAATTTAAATCGTATTTAATATGTACATAAATATTGAAGAAATAAAAATAAAAAGTATACAGAATTTAATAAAATTTATAAAATAATATTAAAAAACTAAAAAAATTTCATGAGACTTTAGAAACACAATTATATTTTCATAATTGACTAGCTTGTAACAACTTTTGATTAAGGATGTATCTTCATTAAAAAAAAATTAGCTATTTGTTTAACATTAAAAATAAGTGATTTTTAGATAGTTTAAAAATTTTATAAAAAAATTTATTTTGTAGATATCTTATAAAAAATAATTGTTTGGCTATAATAGTAAAAAAGTAATTACCAGTTAGCTATTTTTAAATTTTATGATATCTTCATTAATTTTTGTTTTATAAAAATAATTTATTACTTAATTATTTTAAAATTTATAGTATTTTCATGTATCCCTTATGTAACATCCTAAGTTTTCAATTAGAAATTTTCAGTATTTATAAGGGTATTTTAGTCAAATTAGATGAATTATTGATTAATAACGTTTATGGGAGACTAATATAATTTTTTGATCATTGGATAGCCTTAAAAGAAGGCTAGGTCAAAGTTCGAACGGGCCATGGCACGAACGAAAGTTTGAATTGATAAGAGACTTTTTGTGCCATGTGCTGCAGTACACGTGTAGAATCTGCACTTATCAGATGATGAACCAG